CGCCATCAGCGCCCTCCTCCTGCCCCGCTCGCCCGTGTGGGGCAGGGCTGGTGGAGCCGGTTCGCTCCTTCCAAGCCGCCCGTCCTTCGCTCCTCAGCGCGTCTCCCTTCAAACCTTGACGCTGTAATTTGTGGCTCAGCTTTTCCAGGGTGTCATTCGTGTTCTCGCTGCTGAGTCCCCGTGGTTTTTGTTTGTTAGTAGTTGTGCGGTGCTTACAGCGCGTTTTCCTCCCGTAGAAAGCGCTGCTGTCACCTCAGAAACAAGCTGGTGGCAGGCTGAAACCCACCCACAATTTAATTTTTTTATTTTTTTTCATAAAAAGAAACTTATACTTCTGTCATAAGTAAGTCCTTGTGTCTTTTAACTCTATGACTACAACCCAACTACATCAAATACATCCACTTCGTTTTACCTGTTATTTTTCTGTTTATATTTATCTGTTCATCTTGTCTGTCTGTGCACATTGGCCATAAAATTGCAAATACTGTGCTTGGTGGAATTCCTGGTCTTGATCAGGTGGAAACTGTTATTTCTGTAAAGATAGTTCATATTCTATATATATAGAATATATATGTGTAGAATACTTCATATTCTATGTATATATGTTCTATAACCTTTTATATATCTATTTTTTTTTAAATATTCTGTATATATTTCTTATGGTCTAAGGTAACTTTAAAGCGTTCAAAACTTGTCTTTCTGTACTCAAGCCAAGAACTCTAGTGAGAAACAAATGGGATAAACCTGCCTGCCTGGCACCTTTCACAGTGAGAAATTCATAATAAAACATCACGTGGAGGCAAGTCATCAATAGCAGTAACTGGATTGTCACTAATTAAATTGCAGTTTTGTGTTTAACTTGCTCACGTTTGTTTAGTTTTGAGCCGGTTTTTATTTGTGTACTGACTCTGGCTGCTTACTCACTGCCAGGTTTTCATTTCTTCCTGGTGCCAAGGCAGTAATTAATGCTGTACTTGTTACTCATTGCATTTTTTTGGGGCTTCCTCTCTTGTTTGTTGTTTTTCCCTCATCATTATTTCCCAAATTATTTTTTCTTTCTTAATGACCTCTGTTCAGGGCCCTTCATAAATCTGTTTTTCCACAGAAGAATTCATTTTCTCCTTTATATTTGACACCTTGGTCTTTCAAGTTGCTGCTGCAAGTAACTTTTTGAGTTTTCAGTCCACTGTTTATGTTCTATTTTTTATTTTTCCACTATCCCAATGGAAACAGTTCCTGATCAAAAGTACCTAAATGAGTTTTAATTCAGGAGTTTCAGATCTGGTTGATGTTGTTACACATCTTTTCTTGGCAAAATGTGAAGTTGCTCAATCTGTGCCTTTATTGAGCGGTCCTGAGGAGGAATGAGTTGTTTATTTTAAAATAAATTAATTTCTGATCAGAGCAGTAACACTGGGGTGTGAGTTCTGGTTTCTTTGAGATCACTGAGTGCTGCTCAGTAACCTGGCTTGGCATTTCGTGTGCAAACACCAAAAGCACAACTGACTGAACATTTCAATGTTCCCCTTCCAGTCCATTGAAGAAAATGAAGTGTATCTGCCCAGTGATGAGCTCTGGATCTATGACATGGACAGTGGGCTCTGGTGAGTGGCACATTTACATTCAATTATCACCCAAAGCTGATTTTTGTCACGGATCTGCAGGGAAAAGCCTTCAGGGACATTGGGTGTGTTAAACAGCAGGTGTTCAATGGCAGCTGGGCTGGCAAATGAAGCCCAGCAAACACAACCCTGCTGAAGGTGAATTAATGATTATTTTGTGCAAGGGAAGGGTGGCTGCAGGCTCTGTTGGCACAGCTGCTTTTCCCTGGCAGTTTGTTCTGGCTGAGCTTTGTTCCATTCACTTTTATGGTAGAACAGTCATTCACTGGCTGCAGGCTCTGGATCCAGTTACAGGTCTGTGTTTATTATTTTGGTGTTAATGCCATGTGCATTGAGACTCAGAAATAACTCACAACTTCCCCTTTTGCTCTTTCCTTCCACTTTCTTTTTTCCTCCCCAAATAACTCAGAACTTGTCCTTTTTCCTTCCACTTCTATTCCTGCCATTTTTCTCTTTCCCTCCATTTTCTTCCCCCCCTTTTTATGTTTCCCTCTTCCCCCTTTTTTGTG